AATGAACGTGTCGAGAATTAATCTCCTTGCGAGGTTCTAAAGAGAGCGAATTGTCTTCCGCTTTTTTCTCCGTTCCGTAAGTCGTAATAAACTACCTCTCGATGTTCTCGAAACATATCATTGTCATTATGTCATGATAGATATTACGTCGTATGTCGCGTGTAAGAAAAATTAATTATTAATTTTTAATGGTCTGTGAGTCAAAATCGAATCATTCAAGTTTAAAGTTAAAAATTAAGAAATAAATGACAATATTGTATACGATTTTCAAAAAGTTTCGTTTCCGAAAATCGTCAAAGAAATCGTCTCTAAAAAATCTTTCGAAAGGTCAACGGAGAAGGAAGAGGAAATGCATAAACTTCCCTTTCGCATGTGCGGCTCATTCTCCGTTTAATCTTACGTGTTACGGAACTTTCGGTATGCGACTGTGAAAGACTGACATTTAACGTTAACTATGGACCGTTTACGCGTCCCGGCTGCACACAACTGTGGCTCACAATCAGTGGTCATTATACTCCACAGACTTGTGCTGTCCATTCTCACGTCGGTTCAGATCGGACTCTTCCTTCGCTCATTGCCAACTTCGTAATTCAACAAGTTAGAATTATATTGCACGAGAGAACGGATCGGATGAGCATACTTCCTGATTACCAATCAGGAAATATAGAGTCATAGTACTCAATTGAGTCAAGTGAAGATTGAAAGGTATATAATAAATAAAAAGTGAAAGATTACATGATTGATGGTTTCTCTCATTTCCGTAAGTCGGAAAAAATAAAGCCCTTAAAATTAGAGAATCCGTCATTATAATTAAAATCCAAATATCTCTAGTCAAATAATTTGAAAATTATTTTTCAAAAATAATAAGAAGGAAGGGGAAAAATTTAATAAAATCTTTATACTTATAATTTATCCGTAGATATTATGCTTGTGAAAAGTCATTATTCGTTTCAATCATTATTGCGAGAAAATTACATAGAGAGCATAGTTAGACGATAATTCGTAATTCGTTCGCGAAATTGCTCGTCCCAGCTTCCGACCGGTTATATGCGCGAACGATCTCGCGCGACGAGAAGAAAAGGAAGAGAAAGACGGAAAAGAACGTCGTCTCCCCCTCCGTTTACGTAACCGGCCCTCTTTGGCAGTCTGTGGAAGACGCGCGACCTAAAATTGCATTTGAATAAAGCAATTTGTGCACGTGCCGTAATCGAATTCGGTCCTCTCGCTAGTTTTCGCTACGCGAAAAGCACCGATAAATCAACCAGTTGCGCGGCGCATCGACCTCAACACGCCCCTACGATGTAGCCATATGGCTTAATTTCGTTCGTAAAGCGTGTGTGGTACTTGGTGACACCGAGAAAAAAAAAGCGTTTCGCGCCTACGAACGGGAAAACTGACATTCGCGATGTTGCGGCCCGCCAATATTCGCTCAATTGCCAATAACAGCGATTTCCGCGATATATATTACATTAAAGCCGAAATAACCTTACGATTTGCGCGAGCCTCAGGAAGCTGAATTTGATTGTGCTATCACCTCGCAGAGAGAACAAATTTTTTCCTATACAAAGATCATTTTTGTCGAATATTTTTTTTCAATTATTTTTTCTTTATTCTATTAATACTAATATTTTTTTTAAATTCTAACTTGAATATATGTCATGATAAAATATATATCGTCATAAAGGGATGTTTATCGGATAAGATTCATTGTATAAAAATATCAAAAATACATCATTATCGCTCTTATTAATCAAAATAAATAAAAATTGAATTTTCAAGCCGAAAGAGAATTAATTTATTTTAACTTAAATTAAAAATGGATGTGCGAAACACTGCGTGAACTTGAAAAATGCGAGTTATCGAAACTCGAATAATTTTTTAACGTGAAGGCAAAATAACGTTTCTCTCGTCTCGATCTTTATGCACACTTGTTTGCTTGCTTCTTTATATTTCAGAAATAAACACTTTCTCTGTGAATTTCAAGGTACACGAGACGGCACGCAGTAAGTCCTAATGTAAAGCATGTTTAAGCGCGCAGCTTAGGACGCGCATGTAACAACTTAAAGCACGCAATCGTATATACGCGGAGCAGCGCCGATGCGCACGTTAAAGGGGTAATCGTTATAAATCGTTCTGAGAATGTCCTCAAACGCAATTCGCGGGAATTGATGGATCTTTATGTCCGACTAATAAAAATAAACGTCCGTTTCTCGCGAGTTGATAATTTTCTTTCGCACGTCGACGATGCTTTTTTAATAATTCTGACACATATTTCTTCGTCATATGACGAGCTTTATTTTTTAGAATCATCTGATTAAGGATTATTATCGTACATTTTTTTCTTTCAATTTTATAAAATAGAAAATCACACATATTAGTAATATTGAATTTTTTAAAAGAATACTATTGTGAGATTATGCATTATGTAGTAAATCGCAATGTCAAAATAAAATATATTCACCACTGAGAACAGATAAGACGACAAAATACATTCTGATACATATTTCTTCGTCATATGACGAGATTTATTTTTTTAAAGTCATCTGACTAAGGATTATTATCGTACATTTGTTTTCAATTTAAAAAAAATAGAAAAAATATCACACACATTAATAATATTGAATTTTTTAATAATACTATTGTGAGATTATGTATTGTAGTAAATCGCAACGTCAAAATAAAATATATTCACTACTGAGACCAGATAAGACGACAAGAATCACTAAAAGCGGATTTATCGCAGATTCTCTTCTAAGAAAATGATATTATCGGATTCTCATTTCAAAGCCATCGAATAAAAGTTTAAGACGCGATTTATGAACATTATTTTATACCCGATGAATCTTCGCGAATAGAAACATACTTTATATTTTTAATATAGAGATTAATATAGAGATTATTCAATATTCATAATTTTTAATATTTTCAGAGCTCATTATTTAATTCCACGAATTAAATGCAGAAATGATTTATAATCAAAATTGTATATGTATCATATTTCGATTTAAAATCGAAACATAATGCATATGTAACATATTATTATTATTATTGTTTCGCGCGTAAACAACACGTTAAAAAATTATCACCTAAACACCACAACACGAAATAGAGTGAGGCGAGAAGGAGAATATTTCTCTCCTTTTTTTTCGCACAAAAAATCTCGTCGATAAAAACACCTCGCGAGAGCGAATGCTCCCGATGGAAGCAGGAAACGTAAAGTAGACAGTCCAAGGCAGGTGAGACAGCTACGCTATACGGAACAGCGCTAAGAAACATCGAACAGCCAAGAACCAGAAGCAATTGTTGCAGTCGCGTGTAAAAGTACATGTCTGTGTACATATTTACGAGTACATATGTATATGTGTGTGAATGTATATGTATATGTGTGTGTGTAGCGTAGGATGCGGCGCGTGTACGCAAGTTGTGTCACCCGGGATCCAAGAACGAAGTGTGTCGAAACATCTATTCAGCCGAACACATCTAGAAGGTAACCAGCAGCTCCGCTGTGATCGCGAGACGTCGTCCCCTCGGTACGGTCCAATTTCCAATGTCGATATCGCGCGAAAGTGGCCCTTCACGCGTCTCTCTCCGCGCGCAAAAAAAAAAAGAGGAACACGCAGGTGACGACGCTCTCGATCTATCCGAATAAAACACCAGAGGAGAACTGAGAGAAAATAAAGAGAGAGAAAGAGGAGGGCGGGAGAAGAAAGAAAAAAATAGAATAACAAAAAAATAGAGAAAAGGACAGAGAGAGAGAGAGAGAAGAGAGAGAGAGTGACAGCCATCTCACCGCCCGCCACAGCTCAAAGCACTCACTAAACGTCACGGGAGAGCGCGGACAAAAGAACTGAACTGGCGACGATGTTGTTGTTGTTGTTGTTGTTGGTCAGTGTCGGTCAATTATTGTTGTCTACGTCAGCGAGTGTTCTATAGGCGCCTTGGAACGTACTTTCGATAACCTACAAAGAGCACTGGCTCCTCTTTTCCCCCGTGTACGGTCGCCCGGACCGACGTACGCCGTGGTGCCACCTGACAGACTCCGGGAAATTCGAGAAAACGGCATTTCCTTCTCGGCCCATGCGCGAGAACTTTAATCGAATTTCGGCGAGTTGCAGCGCCGACAACGGCGGGGGCGGCCTCGCTTCGTTGCGCGTCATCGAACTCCGCCGCGGGCTGAATTTGAATTTTCCCGCGCGTCCCGATTTCCGGTATCGCGATATTGCAAAAAAATCTGCGCGATAATCGCGGGCTCCGGACTCGCGTTCGAACCTCTCTCGCATTCCCGCCATTTTCGGCTCTTCCTTCCCCCCATTCCCTCCCACACCTCTCCGTCACGCAATAATTTCATAGATCAAAATAGATATAATTTCGAAGTTGAATTTGCATCAAACGTGTAATTATGGTATCGAGATATATTATTAGCGCAGAAATTCTTCGTTATTTGCGACAAAAAGATCTGCATTCCGCAGATTTAGGTTTTCATTGTCGACATCGCAAGGCGGCGAATGAGCGACATACTTCGAAAGATATATTGGCGAATATTTACAAGATTTATCATGTATGGCGTTAAAAGATTGATCTTAAAGTAAAGATACGATTGTTAGTATGCTCGACTCACCTAATGCGACTGCATTCTCGAAATCTCGCACTGTCCGATGCACACTTTCCACTTGCACAAGCACTTGAACGTCCGACTCGTAAAATGGCGCGGGACTGTATGTTAAGGTTTTTGCGACCACATAACGCGCGAAGTTGGGTGCCAAAAAAGACGTCGCTAGCGCCACCCTACGGCGCGTCGCGGAACTTCTTCCTTAATCTTATCCGCGGAGTAGAGAACGATTTATCGACGCAGAGAGAGATTTCTGTAAGAATAAAATATTTTATTATTAGATGAAATATTTTATTAAAATTAGATTCTATTATAATATTTCTATTATTTAGAAAAATAAAAAAGATTTTCCCACTTTGATCATTCTTTTCTTTTTTGATAGATGTCACGTGATAGTATGGTTGTAGGTTAAGTCGCAGTGCATTGTATTTGGTGATACGTCGCAATGGCAGCTCCGGTGAAAAAGCGTGAAATTGAGCGAAATTTACACGACGATGACGAGGATGATGTCTCGTCAAGCAGCGAGGACGAGGAATATGAGGTTGCGGACGAACAGGTAAGAAATAATCGTTTGTATTGCACGACATATCGCGGCACCGAGTGAGTTAACCTTACTTTCGAACACGCGGTCGCTTTCTGCTGTAGATTTATTTGATCATTTTTTAATTTATTTGAGCCTAATTTGCCCGATTTACGCGATATGAAAATAATAAATTGTACTAAACAATGCATGAGCTCATGGAAGTTTTCAATTAAATAGAGTGAATGAAAAAAAAATTATATCACTGACTTAATAATATATATATATATATATATATGTGTGTGTGTATTATAATGTTCTTTTATATTTTCGATAATATGCTCTATTTATAAAAAAATTTGTAGAAAATTATCTATATATACAAAATCTATCTGTAATATAAAATTTTGCATGTATAATTTTTATCAAATATTATATATTAACAATATATTTGAGACATATTCTTTGATTATAGATTTTAAGTGTTATAATACAATAGATAAAATGCTGTAATCAATTTTAGGGAATGGAGCTTCAATTGGATTTTGAGGGTCGTAATCCACAAGATCCAGATTATCATGGAATCAAAACATTATTGAAACAACTTTTTCTTAAAGCACGTATCGACTTAGGCGGACTCACAGATTTAATAATATCTCAGAATTATGTAGGATCTGTTGTTAAACAATCTGAGGAAATAGATGAATCTGATGATGATGATGACAGTGATATTAATGATGTATTTGGAATTACAACTGTCATTAATGTTTCTGACAGACAGGTACATATAAATTAATAATATGTGATTGTATTATCATACTTTAAAGAAATAGCTTATTTTAGATCTCTGTTTATGAATTTTTGACGAAAATTGATATTTTTTTTAGAATACTTCATGTATACAACAGCTTAGGGATTTATTGAAGCAATTAGCAGATGAGCATGCAACAGATGCAGCTAATGCTATGATAAAGAATGTATTGGAGAATGATGCAGCACAATTGGGTTTACTTATTAATGAGAGATTTGTCAATATCCCAGCTAAGATTTCAGTACCACTCCTTGAAAATTTAATTTCTGAAGTGAAACGTGCCAATAATAAAAATATGCCATTTAATTTCTCTTATTACGTACTTATATGTAAACTATACAAGTCAGAAGATAAGAAAACCAACAAAAAATCAAAGAATAAGAATAGAAAAACCGGCAATGAACCGTCTATATTATGGAGTAATCCAGAAGAAGAAATTTTTGCAGAAAATGCAACTGTTAGTTTCGAATTCTCCGTTGAAGAAGAAGCAGATAGTGGTTTATCTGGAACATGGACTGAATCAGATGATGAAATGATACCTTATAGACGAGTTCTTCTTTTCGAAGCTCCTAAATTACAATCCATATTTGAAAAAATACAGAATCAATTTTCATAACTTGATTCCATTTAAACTATTAATTATATTATTATATTAATATATAATAGCTTATATTATTAATATAAGTATTAATATCGATAAAATAGCTGAACCTTAGAAGCGCATAACTTCTATTTGCAATATAAGCTGTGCTTTTCAATGAAAATTTCTTTGATATCTACTTATGACAAAGTGTAATAGAAATAGTATGTGCAGTAATTTTTTTACAATATATCTTTTACACTTATTCTATAAAATGTTTCTATAAATTTCACCCTTTCACACTTTTTCGTTCTATTTTTTATTTCTCTAAACTTATAAATTACACTTGCAAATTATCCATCGATTTTCGAGTATCGAACTTTGTCTCATTTGTGATTTTTTTATAGCAATATACATTATTTTTATGATTGAATAAATAGATTTTGTATATAAAATTTAGATTACACTTGCAAATTATCCATCAATTTTCGAATATTGAACTTCGTCTCATTTGTTTTTTTTTCTTATAGCAATATAAACATTTTTATGATTGAATAAATAGATTTTGTATATAAAATTAAATTGAGCAAAATAGATATAATATAAAAGCCGCGCAAATGTACAAATAAAATAAGACAATAGATTATATTATAAAAAAATGTATGATTTAGCTCATTTTGAAACTCAATAAGTCTTTTTGGAATTATAGATTGTTTTTATTTACGGAATATCCATTACTACGATGGTGCATCTGCAAATTTGAACGATTGCCTTATTGGCTTGGCTCTCCGTCTCATAGTACCAAGAATATTTAACATTTCAGAAACTGCTGGTGACGTATTCTCCGCTTCTTGTCGTCTTTTCCGCTCCTCTTCTCTTTGTTTCTAAAATCAACATTTTTATTCAAATATATGCATACCAAAGTCAATTGCAAATAATACTATTCAAAAACAATAGAGAACATAAGATATCAAAACATATTTAACAGATATCAAAATTTAAAAAATGTTTAAGAGTTAATGTTTTTTAAACATATAAAATTAAATATATTTATATTATATTTAATTTCACAAATTAAAATATTTTATTTTATTAATTATATGTATTTATTTTAAATGTTTACATAGAGTCTGGTGTTTTATACTTACATCAGTATGTTTCAACGTGAATCGCCCACCTTTGATTTGACTGATAATATCGTCAATAGCTAAAAATAATTTAATATATCTCATATTATATCGCGATAATTTTTATTTGTGTACATAATAGAATAGAAGTAATTCATGTCTGACAAATTGTCTGACTAATTAATTGCACAATTACCAGGTTGTGCGATCACAGGTGTTTTTTTCGGAGTAATACCAAGCATAGTTTCCATGTCCTTTACAGCCGAACGCTCCGAGATCAATTTTTCTTTAGTCAGTAATTTTATCGATGACTGACTACCAGTCATTGACATCGGTAATGGTGGGGGAGGCGGAGGTAATGGTGGCGGTGGCGGTTTCGAGACTTTCTCCTCTAACTCGCTGACTTTCTGCTTCAAACATTGGACAACGTTCTCCAATTCTTCCAACGCTTTCTCGGCCCTTTCGGCTCTCTGAAGAACAACCTCTAACTCGGATTCCGCGAGCTTTAGTTTCTCTTCAACAATTTCGAATTCTACATTCGATTCTTTCTCTTCCAATTTCTCCTGTAACATCTGTACTTGAGAAGCATGATTCTGCCGTTCTTCTTCTAATAATCTTTTTAAAGTTTCCACTTCTTGCAGAACGGCTAATAATCTTCCATTTGGATCATCTCCAACCTCGGCCAAAAGAAGAGCGCTTTGATGTGCTAAAACGTTTCGTTCTTTTTGGACCTAAACAATCAAGTAAATTAACATGATTTATAAAAATAACTATGATTTTTAATATAATTTAACTTTCAAAACATTTTTTCTACAATTTTTTTAAAACTTATATACAGTTTTAAAAACTGACGAGTTTTACTCAGCATGATCAAATCGATGTCAAATTGATCGATTCGACCATCATTTCTCGCTGGGTTAAATAACATGCATATTTTGTAAGTAAAATTGTAATCAATCTGTGCGTTTAGCGAAATCATATTGAAGATTATAAAAATTAATTGCCTACTTTTTCAGCTTCCATCTTCAGAATTTTCGCGTTTTCTCTCTCACGATCATATTGTGTTTTCAAGGCTTGCACTTCTTCAGTCACCATTTTCGAAACTCTTTCCATATTTCCTTTGTGAACCTTCATCTCATTAAGCTTCTCCTCTCCTGTAATAAAGACGAATCGCTTAGCTCAGGATAATTTATCTATCATCAAATTATATGTTTATATATGAACCTTTTTGTCGAAGACTTCTTTCTTCTTCTAACTGCGTAGTTAATTGTGTCACCTGCTCCTGTGCTTCGAATTCTTGAAGCCGCGCGGAATGAAGTTCCGTCTGAAGCCTTGCTATTTCACTACTCAATTCTGCAAATTGATGTTTAAGATCGGTTATTTTATTAACTTTGAATAAATATTTTTCTTTTTTTATTTTGCTGTTTGTATAAAATTATAATTTAAGTTTGCAATTAAAATCATTTTTTTTTTAATTTTACATCTCATAGAGATATGTAACAAGATTAATTGCACTGACCTTTCACTGTTTGTCTCAGCTCATCCAAATCCTCAAAATTTGATGTATCCACTTCGTCAGGTAGATTAAAATCCAACAACTGTTCCGGATTACTATGTTGAAATTTTTGCGCAATAATTTGGGATCTTCGTTTGAGTTCGCGATTTTGTCGATACCACTAATAATAAAATTATATATTATTTCAAAATACAAATAATACTATAATTATCTTGATGAAAATCGAGATTATAACAAATAGATTATTACCTGAGACGCCTGTTGCATAGCTTTGTGCATTGCATTCGTTTCCACATCATATTGATGTTTTAACTGTTCATATTCCTTACACACTGCTTCCGAAACTGTAAAAAATCGAACGTGTAAGAGTTGATAATTTTATTAAAAAATTCATTAAATATGAAATAATCAAGATTGAATACATACCTGTTCGCAATTTTTGCAATTTATGCTCCTTCTCTTGAACTTGCGATTGCAGTGTGCTATTTTCTCTTGTAATTGTTGATATTTTTTCTCTAAATCTGTATGCCCTTTAATCACTACAAAAGAATAAAAACAGGGAATTTTAATATTTTTTAATATTTTAATATATGTATTTTTTATTATCATTAAATTTAAGCAGATGCACATAAGTGAATCAGTTAGCAACTATCGTGGTCAAGTCATCTGACAACCGGATTAGGGTCATATAAGAATGTAACTGTTGAGAAAGACGATATCGATGATGTCATCGTTCGTTTTTAAAAGAATTCATATTACGAGACAATAAAATATTCCATAACTAGTTCTATGAAGGAATAACATATAGAACATAATAGCCTTTTATTATGCAAATAATTTATGAGACAAAAAATTGTTTACTATGTTACATGTGTAATGCATATATAGAAACTCGCGTTATTTTAATATTTCGTATACAAAATCATAATTAATATATTTTTCAACCATTGATTGTCTTTTCTTTATTTTTTTGTTAGCGTATTTCAAATATTATTTTTAAACATCCTTGATCAATCTCTGACGCATTGCGTTATGAATGAATTATGCATGAATTACTTACGAAGCATTTGTCACTTAATTATCTGAGTTGTATTCAAACGATTTGGAGAAAATTTTAGAATAGGACAAGAGTTTATTCTTTAATTCCCGCTCTTTTCGCATAAACTTGATCAATTGATTCGCTGATTGTCAATCAATCGATGATCAATATAAATCGATCAATCGTTCCAAGAATATCAATTCTGCGAATAATCATGTATCAATAATGTATATATGTATTTTATCTACTATCAATTTAAAATTCTATCGTGGTATAGACGAATGACTAATCGAGCGTCACTGCCTTCGTTTTACATGCAGAAGTGAATCACAAAACGATAATTGACTATAAAACATTCTTCAATCAAATCTCTCTGTAATCTCTCGTGTGTGGTACATGCACTTTTCATTATTTATGAGTTTCTTTCAAGGAAAGTCTTGTAAAAAGTTCGACGAAACATCGGTCGGCTTATCATACTCAAAAAACCTCAAACATAACAAGAGAGAAATCTTGTTTTTATCTCATGTATAAATATAAACACGAATCGTTGGAAACAATTGTTCGAGTCACTTTCTTCTTCTTAAGAAATATGAAAATATTTTCATAAATCTTCTTCATATTTCTTAAGAATCTATCTAATGTAAAATTATTAGATTATAATAACTTTTCTTCTTTCTCTTTCTTCTATGATTTTATAAATTAAAAAATTAGTAAAATTCTGTGCCCTACAAAATAATATACAAAAAACTAGTATTTATAACGGTATATTTGTTATCAAGACATTTTTTTCGATTATCAGCTTAATATTAGTAGATAAGTTTAAAACTTATCTACCCTCACCGAGACAGATAAATATTAGATTGACGATCTGCTCGAATAAACAAATGTTCTCTCTCTCTATTTATTTATTCTGTTATTGTCTGCTGATCTTAATTTTTTATTATAATACACGAATATTAGTTTTGTTTTCTATGATCTTTTCTTTTAAAATCAATTATTCAATAACATAAACATCGGATTAACAAAAAGGTACACAAGCATACTTCATTATCAGTAATTTCAAAATTCAGATTCAAAATTAGTCTGGCAATTATAATGTATTAGTTCATGTAATTGTTAAATTAATTTATCGCGTCGTTTGACGCTCAATAATTACCAGTATCGTTCTTCTGTAGCAACAACTTTCGCCTCTTCTCCGACTCGTCATATTTATTCTTCCACTTGTTCTCGAAGCTGCTGTTATCCCTGTTGAATTTGCAGACATCATTCGTCTTATAATTGCTAACAGGTGTTGTCTTCTCCTCAGAATCTCGCATCTCGATGCTTGAAGTTGACAGTTGATTATTGTTGCGCGATCTCAGCTGTACAACGGAAGCTTCGAGCTTCTCGAAGGATGCTCGTTGAGCGGCCACGGATCCACGACCGAGCCTCTCGAAGGATCCTCTACGTTTTGGAGGACATCTCTCTTGGGCCTTGATAGCGGCTGATACTCTGGGCACCGGAATGTGAGAATGAATCACACTCGGAGTGGTTCTCGGTGGCTCTGAGCTCAGGACGATGTTGAATTCTGTTTTATTCATGGCAGCTGTGGAAGTAAATGCACTTGTTAAACCATTTGGTATTAAGCTTTACCGCTGTTAGGAATAATGAAGTGTAATGAGAGATATTTCCTGGTCGGAACAATGTATTTTAAGCCTACTCGTGTTTTCATTCAAGTATTATTTATAGATGAAATACGATATCTCTGATAAAATCTCTGATAATGGAAATAATTAATATGTAAAAAAATTTATTGATAAAATTATTATTTTAAAATATTAAAGAAAAGAAAGATTTTCAACAGATGTTATTGATCTTAAACACATTTTTATTAGTTCTTATTTGATATATCATTTTCCAAGTAACACACATGACTCCATTATGGTATTAAATATCATGTGGAATGTAATATTTACTCTGATAAGTATATTTGATATAAGTTCGTTGAGAAATTATATGACGTTTGATAAGTATGCAGAGATATAAGACAAAAAAGTTATCTTCTATATACGTATGTATAGTCTTACTATATTATCAATTTTTGATCGAAATTACATAATCGACATGCAAATAACAATAGAAATGACCTACAGATAAAAAAAGATTTTATCCGAATACGTATTGCCATCGGTTGTACCTAAAGGTTAATAACATTGGACATTTCTAAAAATAAACATCTCACCGTTGGCAGTCAAGTTCAAAATAGCTACCATGTCAAAATATTCTTATTCCTAATCCGGAATTCACGCGAATACGAAGGCATTAAATTATTTAATTTATTAAATTAATTTATCCTGATAAAGACTAAAATAATATTACTTCACATGACAATTATATCGAACTTGAATGTCGACAGCGAAATCAATACTTTAATTTATTTTTAGGAATATTCAATATTATATTAATCTTTATAGTCATAATATTAATTATCATTGAAATCCGTTGTTATTATTTTCACAAATTAATATCATCAAATAATTAAAATGAAAAGGAAAAAATTATTTAAAACATATTTATTTTTATGCTCTATCAACTGTAACCAAACGTTATTAATTGATAGTAAAATATTATAACAGTCACAGTTTTTTTAATAAAACATGATTGAACTTAAAATAATGATTATCACAATTGCTAATTACTATTATTATGGAAAGAGAGAGAAATTAATTAAAAGTTATCCATATAATAGCATTCATTGTTCGCGTTTATTCTCGCCGCAAAATACGAGTACCGGAACCGGAGTCTAAAATAGGATTCGTTCAAAAGTTTACTCGTGTTAGGTTTAGTCGCACGTGTTAAGCTTCGCGGGAGTCTCCCCCGCGGGCCATTTGAAGTTAATTTGTCGGAATGTGCGTTTGTGTCAGGGCTCATGCGGCCCATCGATCGTTAAACCGACGTCGACGGTGGGTCGAATGTGTTTTGGTATGCTTTCCCTAACTAAAGATCCACCAGGTGTTGCGATTGCTTCTCGATAATGTCATGCATAATTACTGTTTTAGCTTCCGCTATATCAACGCCCCTATACTCTCGGCTTCCTCTCGTGAACGTGAAAGTTTCGCAAAAATTCGTTTGAAGATGAGAAACACTTTAATAGAATAGATGGGATCCTTTGCATTAGAATACTTAAAAAAGTCAATTAGCTCTTTCAACGCTACTTTAAATACGCGCTAAAGCAGAAAAGACCTCCCAATGTTAAAATCGATACTCGAATAAACAGGGGTGCATTTTTAAAAAATTTTAGCTCGAAAAATTTAGGAATGTTTTATGTAAGTAAGAAAATAGAGTTATATTTAATGTTTAGTAAATATTAGAAAAAAGATATTGATTGTAGTGTGTAGCAAAGTAAAACGACTGTAGAGTTCATTTGTAATTCATCACTATTTGACTGTATAAAGTTTGATATTATCATATGAAGAAATATTTTAAACTTTACATTTAATAGAGTAGATATGTTCTGGTGGAAATGATTCGTTATATAAATAAATATTCTATGTCCAAGGTAAGAAAATGTTATTTCGAAATAGCACGATTATGCTATACTTTGTTTTTATCGATTGACCAACACTTGCAATTGTTTTTTTTTCTTGCACTCCTTACAGTGTAACTAGCGTCATTGATCGTTTCATCGCGATATAGTACACTATGTAATTTTACATGCAGCACATATGCGTAAGCATTGACATGCATTCAACATTAGTGTGAACTAGTAATGAATAGTGAGCAGTGTCTGATAAAGTACAATTGATAGAACACGGACCACCTTAACATATATACTGCATTTTACTACAAAAATGTCAGAAGTGCTTCCAGATAAAGTATATCAGAGTATATCTCTCCGATGTGAATGATTCATAAATTGAAGAAATGATAAGTCAAGAACTTTTCCAACTGGTGCATTACATGATTCGAAGGCAATTGACAAATTAACACGTAATTTATTGTTATTAATATTAACACGCAGTTGCCATATTTTTTTAACAATAAGTTTTATAATCAGTTTGGAAATTAAGTGATTGAAATATTTGGATATATATATATATATATATATATATATATGTATATAAATTTTTTTTTAAGTGTATTTATATTATCCCTTCTGTACTTTCTCTCTCTTTCTCTCTCCATAAATTAAATTATAAATTGTATATTAAAGTGCCAAATTTTTATTTAAAAAGGGTATCTTATACTATCACAAAATCAAAAACATTCGTATAAAACATTAATAAGATTTTATAAGTGCGCACGTGATGCAAAATCGATCTGAATATGATAAAATTTAGAGTATACAAATTATATTCTTTTTTTTATACTAATCACAATCTGCTTTAACTCTCTCTCTAATCTCACTAATTCACTCTCCCTCATAATAATTTAAAACAACGACCCTAGTGACTCTTAATTATTGATCACGACGTCGTACGCGCACTGTTGTACATATATATATAATGAACTTTGAAGTCATACGTCAGAAAACACGAGATCCTTTCACTTTTCCATTAAAGAACGATGGCTTGTTTTATTATACTATAATTTTATAATATTAGATTATTTGAAAAATGACAGATGCAAATGAATTGATATTTAATTTACATCTCAAATTAATTATAGAGACAAATGTGAATTACATTTTTCCGAATTCTGATTGAAAATTGTAAATATAAATTATATCACTTTATACAGTTCATTATCTTATATTTACATTGTTATGAGATAAGTAGCGTATTGCAGAAATTTGTATAAAATACAATTTATTTCGCTAATTATGTTTTGTAAAATAAAAATCTTGACTTGCTTAAAATAATGATCTATGCAAAGTAGCGAATATTTCTCTCTTACACTTCTATCTTAACAATAAATAAATTACACTCACATTTGTTGGATAACACCACTAAGCAAGGATAAATTAATTAATCTATCGATACGTTCGGTACATCGGAATTCGTCGCTAGAAACTTTGAAATACGTTCTCACTCGTACGCGTTCGCGAGCATACTGACTCCCCACGTCTCGTTGTAACGTTACATTATCTCGGAGTACTGTGAAAGAGAGCTTCGGGAATGCAAGAGTGTCGTTTCCTTAAAGTCAGCCAACCTCGAGCGTGTGCGCACGCATATTCGACGAACCTTCCGTACAGAATGCGCAATAGTTTTTGACATTGCTCGATGATAGAGATGAATTTTATGCGATTTAGCATAATTAAAGAGAGAGAGAAAGCAGTACATTAAATCTTATTGCCTTGAAAGAAAAAAATTATTCAAAGCAATATTTTTCGAAAACAAAGAAATTATGGGAAAGAGAATTCATACGCATAAAAATTAATTATATACAAGGAAAGATTAAACAATGATAAAGATTTAACAATGTAAAATGTAAATGCCATTTTTTTAGATATTTTTTATCTTTTTCATTTTTTAAGAAATTATCTTACTTAAAAAAAAATAAATAGCCATGAATCAAACGGTATGTATTTTTTAAGATTACATGGAATAACAGTATTTTCTAGCCGAAGCAATAAAAGTTCTAATTAACTGATGGTTTTTGCAGTTGATTGAGTCATTTATTGATTAAAAGAAAGAATCTTTTATTCGTCTTTTCCCATTTCGATATAAGTAAAAATTCAACAAAAAAACGAATAATTTGGAGTATATTTTCGACGCGTGTATGAAAGGAATTTACGCAGTTAGTCAGCAGCTGAACACACAGAAACAGACGTGTATAGAGTTACAAATAATAAGTAAAAACTTATATATTATCGCCAGAATTGCAAGATTTTACAGATCAAGATCTAGAGAAAATTTGAACGTTTGCCAAACATAAAAAAGAATGAGATATGTGGATGCCTGTGTAAAATCAACAAATATAAATCAATAATGAAACAATTAAATCTATAATGACATCAAATTATATCTTTTTAGTACAAAGTTTTAAAATAATGTATATTAATATTCGATATTAATTTTGTTAAACAAAAATGACATTGTGTTAATGTGATCTATAAATTATTATCATCTTATTTTAATGAAAATCTTTATAAAAAAATAATTTAATTATCAAATATGGCAATAAAATTTTAAAATAAATTTAATTTGAATGTCAAGTCAGATGGATTTTGTGTGTTACAATCTTTATTGCATATAAAATGCAAACATATCACAATTTTGAAAACATTCTCCAGATGTGTTGCTTTCTTTCCACAAAGTCGATTTTTTTTAATTCTATAAGAACTTTTATTTCGGTAACAAATGGCTTAATTGCGATAAAAATACAGGTGCGAATTGTAAGCAATGTATTATAGATAACTTAGAAGAATTCTATGAAAGATAACGGCAAACAAGCAACTCTGCAATTATGATGATAACAGTCTTTCACACAATCTCGTATGACTTTGCATATATAGAATCGCGAAAGTGTATGTGTTAATATACTTCATATACGTTGAGTCATTTCTGAATAATCGTCCAGCAATTCTTTGTCTCGTATAAGTCTATGGAAGAGCGCATTGTTGTCGCGGTTTCACACAATTATCATAAAAGAAGATGCAACTTAATTATTAAGTATATATACATATATATAAACATATACATATACACGCATCTCAATAAAACATATTACTAAAGTAGTTAAAGTTTATTTTTCTTTGTAATAAATTATTCAAGATATGTTGTTTCTATTATTTTTCTAGAAATTTATTATATTTATTGAAAAAAGTCAGACACGTGCAAAATATATAAAGATATAATAATAGATATCTTATTATCTATTATTTTATCTTTTAAGATTTAATTTAAACTTTACTCAGGAAATATATTGTAATCAAATTTCAACTTGAAGATTACTTAGAAACTCGCTTCACATTAAAAACGATATAAAGGATGATGTGCAAGCATTTGAATTTTTAGAACAAAGTAATATAATTCTGAATAAAACTTTTAACATCATATAAGAAGTTCAACATCATTAAATGACAATTAACAAAATCGCGATTAGTGCATATCGATGATAATTAATAATTCGCAATGAATAATTATAATTTTCGAGCTTCAAAGAGAAAAAAAAAGAAAAAAGAGAAAGAGAAAGAAACATATCTACATACATATATTAAAGAATACTAAGCAACTGCGCAGAAAAACGACCTATAAGATCTACAACAAAAACTACTATGAAAGAACAAACTTTCACGTGCATCTTGCCTTAGGGAATGCACTTGGAGAACACGAGGAGAAGATATTAACTTGATTTCTCTGTTAGGATGTGACATTGAAAGATCAACATGCCTTCTTCATTTTCTCTAACATAGTCAATTTATAATAATAAATAATACTTTAATTAATAAGTGTTATTTGTACTATACTTATAGTCATATTTTTCAAAAAAATTAAATATCAAAAAATTATCGCTCTTGTATTATTTCAAGTATGATTTTAAAGTTCCAAAATTAATTGAGTAATATATATTATCATCTAATAATGCCGTTTACTATATATATTTATAAACATATAATTAATTTATATAAAATTTATAAAAAATAAAATAGATACAAACGCCTCTTTTTATGTAGCAATATACTTTTATTAAAACAATTTAATACGGAAATTTCGAAGACAGACATAAAATCTTTTTCACACACTTTCGATAATTATAAAAAAATAACCCGTAGATTAAAAATATGTATATTTTATTGCGTGTATACATATATATGTATATATGTACATATATTTGGCATACCTTTCACAACCTTGATTCACGCTTTCGTCTGCAGTATCTCGAATTGTGCGCATTGTACCATCATTAAACAGCTTTATTGTCTAGAATCAGCTTCCCTGCTTCCATTCGCAGTAGAGATGCATGACTCATGCTCATTAATCGTTGTAACGGGTGTCCCTGCGTTTCGCGGAAATTGATGAGCGAACTGGATTACTCAAGCTTAAGATTACATAAAAAAAGACAGTGTTTCAAGTTACATGATTTATTTTGGCATATAAATGTATTTTTTGTTAATAGCAAAGTCTACTCTAAATCAAGATGTTTATCCATTATATTTGTGCAGATTGCAGATTCTTTAACTATATTTAATTTTATCCCCTTTTCTCTCTCTCTCTTAAAAATTGTTATAATTTTTTTCTCTCCAAAAACGATTTTAAATTATAATTAATTAATTATAATTAATTATAAGTAAAAATAAAAATAAAATTAAGAGTAAAATTTTGTTGTATTATTTAAAATATATAATTGTTTAATATAATAAACAAAAAAACTTTGAATATATAAATACAAAAATTCAAGTGTAGAAAATGGATTCTAATAAGAATTTTTCTATTAACCAATTTCCTTATTAATTCCTGATTAATTATAACTCATTCCTGAATTTTTATATTTTATAAGAGTATATATATTTGGACAATTTACCTTTGTATTATTTACGTTTGTATAATAATGAGATATATTACGGCACTATTACGTGTACCGCTATTCGTCTGACCGGAGATTCGATTTTTACGAAATGTTTCTCTCTTTCCCATCCATCAATGAACTACAAAGCACTTCCTGTGCATAACACATTGCGTAATGTAATGTATCCATTTTATGATGGCTGAAATGAGGAAATACACTTGTAATTTGCAATGTTTATTTGAACGTTAATTGCATTGTAATAATTATAAATCATAACCAAGAATATTTTATACTTTTCTAGTATACATATATAGATTTTTATTGCATTTTTTAATACACATATATGTATATTATTTAATTATAATATATGACATTATAATAAAGTGAATTATTAGCAGTTTTATGTTAATTTGAAAAATATATATCTTTTATCGTTATTAATAATGCAGTTTGCTTATGTGACGATATATATATGCATATACTATAAAGAAAACATTATTCGTAAAAACCCACAATTTATGTAATTTATTATTTCTAGTACATTGACATTTCATTAATTTACCTCATGATTTCAATAACATGACTTGCCAAAAAGAGAAATTCAAGTATACCATGTAAAGTTCAGACAAATTCACGCATACGCCATGATGTGCCATGGCCCATGATGCGAAGTAAGCAAGTGAACCAAATTTCAGTAGTGTAGTTCTTCATAATCACTCCCGTACTTAGTTGTGAAATGAAAATTAATTAATACAATAAAGTGAAATACACGTCTAAAATTCAACTCCTTATTTAACAATATTCTCTAACATAACATTAATAATGCTTAAAATGTCGCATTTAATATATTTGACATACTAATAGCATATAAAAATTATAAATTTGTAGGGCGCCAAGAAGCCCTCCATGTTGCATCTAGGTACGGATCTGTCAAAGTTAGTCACATGAGTCACGTGACTGATGACGCGCTCTGACGCATGCGCATGAAGTTGCGCTGCAAGACTGCCTGCCGCCACTTTTTGTGTGATCGTCTCGCATTTTCGTACTTCGTACGTTTGTGCGCGCATTTGTATTTGATTGATATTCGCGACGGAAATGCAACGCGATAACGACACGCGACAAGACTGGTTTGAATTACCAACGATTGTGCGTTAATTTCCGGTATTTTATTACCGCTCGGACGTGAGTGCATATAGCCTTATTTCGATATAGTTCAACCGCGTTTAACCGAATTAGTAAATCATCAAAGCTATTGGTATTCTAATCATGATCGCATGATAAATGTGCGTATTTTTCAATTTACATATAAACTTCTCTTGTTTCTTCTCTCTTTCTAATTATATCTCAACTTGTTTCTCTTTTTACAGAAAGTGTGTAAATAAAAGATGAAGACAACTGCATTCGATCCACCATCTGAAAGGTTTGCGACAATAAACAAGGTTACAGAAAATATTGCTGATAACATTTTATTTTTAACATTTTATATCAAAATGCAGATATATCAATTATATTAAAATTAATATATATATATATATAGGTTATAAGTTCATCAACTATTTAAAGCCTAAATAAGAATATAATAAGAAATAAGTATCTCTTTCATTTCTATTAATTTATATTATTTCTTACAAAGAATATTTTTATCCGTTCTTTGAAAAATCAGATAAAAACGGTAGACGAAGAAGTAAAAGACTAAGTATATAAAACAATAAAAAAGACGAGTGCAAGAGATTAAAGACTATTTAATTGAACATTATTACTATCATATATATATGTATATATAGACATTTTTTATTGTAATCTGCATAAAGATCATTTATTCATATTTTTCATTTATTTATTAAGAATATACTATTACTATATCGTTTGCATATTAAAATACTTATATATGCAATGAGACTGCAATTTTACTCTCTATATATTCATCTAATTGAAAATTCGAATTATAAACTATGTTATCGCTCGACGTAGCGTAAAATGTAAGAATCAATAATTATCGTAGTAGCTACGCTATACTGTGCATCTCACGGATCAGAGCGAATCCGCATCCGCATGCACCGAGAAAAACGTCATCTTGTCTCGTGCGCGTGGTTTGTACTGCGCCTGTCTGATTGAAACCCGACCAACACAAGAGTCGCTTTCTCTCATCTGTCCACGAGCGTAATTCACAGTAATTGCCCTCATTAAAGGTTTGCTCGAGAGACTTTTGATCTCGCAACCTATCCCGGGTCTTTTACGCGAAACCGCGTCTATGCGTAATCCGCGAATTTTGTGACGTAAAGAACTGATTCTGTTCACGAAGCGGGAATGCGAGTGTTTTATAACAACTCGACGAGAAACGCGAAGTGATCGCGCTTGTGTGCTCCGCTCCGCTTGGTCTGGAGATCGCGATGGACCAGCCAGTGCGATAAAAAATCCGCTGACGACATTCGATTTTCTCGGAAACAATAGGATTCTCCCGACGTCATGACGCGTCTACGAGGTAGAGCCTCGTTGATGGTCATCGTGACCATCAGCTTTATTTTGCTGATTGTCATATACCACATACTGAGCAACGAGATTGATGAGATATCGTCAGGCAAGGTCGGCACTCGACTGAGAACAGAAGATATGTATTCTCCAGGTGAACTCACGGACAACCCTGCCGGTAGGCAGCATATATAAATGATATTAAATGTGGAATGATATAGGAAAACTGTTAATGTATTAATTTATGATAAATCATTTGCAGATGGTATTCCGCTGTTCAAGGGCCACAAGATTGTTCATCTAGACCTGAAAGGTGCTCCACCGAAGATGAGTTATTATAACTATCTATTTCCTTTGCTGCGGAAGCTAGGAGCCACTGGTATACTTATAGAGTATGAGGACATGTTCCCTTTCGCAGATAGTATCAAGGACATTTGTGCTGGCAATTCTTATTCCAGGAAAGATATTGTACAAATTCAACATATAGCAAAGAATAATCAGCTGATTGTTATACCATTGATACAAACCTTTGGTCACATGGAATTTGTTTTGAAATTGGATAAGTATAAAGATTTTAGGGAAGTTCCACATTATCCACAAGTATTGTGTCCTACGTACAATAAAACACTTCCATTGTTATATGAAATGATAAACCAAGTTGTATCTGCACATCCAGCATCAAAATATCTACACATAGGTGCGGATGAAGTTTATCAAATAGGAGAATGCTCAAGATGTTTAGATGTTATGTCCAAAAAACAATGGGGCAAACGACAGCTATTCCTGGATCATGTCTCCACAGTAGTCAAATATATTAAGGAAAAATATCCAGCATTAACTGTACTTATGTGGGATGATGAATTTCGTGATATATCGCCACAAGAAATTATTGACAGAGGCTTGCACTTGACAATAGAACCAGTTATTTGGAAATATACTACCGATCCTGGTACGACGTTAACTGATCAACTGTGGGAAAGTTATGCTGCGGTATGGAAGCAAGTCTGGGTTGCAACTGCATTCAAAGGAGCTACTTCACCAGATAGATATTACACAGACATTTCATATCACATGGAGAACCATCAAGGTTGGTTAGAAATCGTTCATCGATACTCAAATCAAATTACATTTAAAGGTATCATGTTAACTGGATGGCAGAGATACGATCACTTCAGTGTTCTTTGTGAATTATTACCAGTGGGATTACCATCTCTCGCTATTAATTTAGCTGTACTACAAGCATCAGATTTAAATGGCTTCCCTGTAGAAGTACCTGCTCATATAGCTGAAATTTTACAATGCGATGGTGTGATTTCATTGAGCATACCAGAACCACAGTATGGTTGGACCAAGTGCAGTTTCCATGGAATGTCAGTATATGCAGCTATTTTACGTCTTTACTCTTTGACGCAAGAAGTAATGAAAATGGAACAGGACAACACCTATAAGGGTTGGTTAAAACCGTACAATATCAAGTATTCTTTTGCAAGCCCTAGTTATGTCGAACGTGCAGTCACTGATTTGGATCGACATAAAATGGAAATAATGTATATTGAGAAAGAAATGCGTTCAGCCATGGAAGATATTTATGATAATTATACAATACAAGAATGGCTAGACACATACACTGCACCTTTAAACGAAAAACTTAATCAATTGTGGGAAGCTAAGGAAAAACTTTTAGAAAAAAATACATGGCCAAGAAGACCTCTCACAAAATCTGACTTATAGTGAAAAACATAATTTTTTCTTTGAATAAAGTAGGTAAAGATATTCATCATGTTCTTTGTGATATATGGTAAGAGACTGAGAATTTTATTAAAACAATAAGAGAAAAGAACAAACGAAAAATTTTTTAGCAATTAATTTTTAAAAATGGCGTGGATAATCAGTGAAATATAAAAGTTTCAAACTTGTAATTTTACAACTTGAACAATCGTTGTATAGAGTATGTGATAACGTAATTTGATATAAAGGAGAAATCAAATCATATTAAATGCACCGTCCGTAAATTAATAGATTTTACTTATTTTGATAAAAATTATTTCATTATTTACTAGAAATAAATATTCTAATGTAGATCACACCATCAATTTTATCATTTTCATTATTTAATGAACTAACAAATATTCTAATGTAGATTACACCATCAATTTTATAATTTTGAAATGCTTTGAAATTATGTATATATATATATATATATATATATTCTTTCTCTTTGACTCTAAAAGTTTGAAATGCAAAACTGATTTGAACAATTTAAGATAGGCGGTGTAGATAAAAAGAGAGGTAGATAGTCATATTGATAAATATGTTTTAAACAATAATTTTTTGCAATATTAGAATTATAAAATTCTAATTTATTGACAATTTATTAAAAGTGTTATTTAGAGAAATATTATCTATTTAGAGAAAAATTGTATTTCAAATTATTATTGTATTTTAAGAGATTTTGAATTGATATTGTTATTATACGTAACACATATAAACTACTCCCCTTTTAATCATATACACACAGATTAATCTTCCTTTGTTTTATGTCTTCTACTTATAAGCATAAGGCTGCTATAAAGTATTTATAATGTCAGGTTTTATTGGTACGTTCTTCGAAAAGATATTGGCAATAAAGTAAATAATAAAATATATTAAATTAATACATTGATTATAGCGCAGTATCTGCAATTTTATTATAAGCAGAGAATCGTGCCATAAACAAGTATTGTGATGTTATATATCTGTAATCGGATATATAAATTTTTGAAGGATAAAATATTTAGTTTAAATTAAAGACTTTTTATATAAAAGAGATAAAGAAGAAGAGTCTCAATTAAAAATACGTATTAGAAGTATGTATAATATTCTATTAAAAAAATTAAATATCTTGTATAACATTTCTAAAATATAAAAGGAACATGGAATGTATTTTGAAGGCTTCGATATTTTTTTCAAATATTACTTAATAAAGTAACTTTATCTAAAATTTTTATTTCTATCTTTTTTATATCGAGTCTTCAATTGTGCTTTTCCTTACAACTTTTCGATGAACGCACCTTATGGCCAATATATTTAAATCTTCCTAGTAATTTTAGAGATTCTTCTGCAAATTTTTAATATATATACCTATACGTCTTTGTATTATATTATGCGCTTTATTATTATTTTGCAATAATTATTATCAATGTGTGAAAGTATTTTTAATGTTGTTATATAAAATATAATTATATTACGCGTGTAACTATTAGCATAATTAACGACAGAAAATATGATTAATAAATCTGTTTTTAAATCTACGATAATAATTCTTTAAGTATATGTTATATTTATTGGTCCCGTATTACATAAATATAACTTTTATTTTTTCATCATTATATATTAATTATACATAATAAATAAATAAAAAGTGCGATAGACAAATGTATCATTTGATACATTTCACACAAGTACGACAATCGTAAAAAATACAATACATGTTTGATATTATGTATACTATTTTCTATTACGATTGCATACTTAAATAGATGGAATTTATGTATTATGTTATATATAATGTTAAATTTTGCAAATATTGTCTGAGACATCACATTATGAAATATAGTGTTCTATAGTATATAAATATAGTTATCTATTATAGCTACAACACATATTATAGTATATACAATTTTGTTGATTCTTATATCAAATGAAATTCATACACGGAAAGAAATTAACCATCATAGCTAAATTTTAGCTACGATAACTATTTTTAGTTGAACAGAGAATTTTATAATTAAAAAATATTAGCTATCATAACTAAAATTTAGACATAATAACTAAATTTTATGTATAATATAGAAACAACTAAAATTTAGCTATGGTAGCTCATTTTTCCGTGATATGTATTTTATTCAGCTAGAGAAAGGATATTCTAAAAATCTATAATAATCATCATTGCAATGCACATACCGCGGATTTCGAGACAGGAAAACGTGGATTGAATGCAATTGGATGATGTTTTCTATTGGGAATTCTTTTTACCACTTTGTTTATTGCATTCACGTCTACTGTATCTCCAATTTCAGCAATAATTATAGGTTTATGAAAATCTTGATCCGTTCTTGTCAATCGGACACCCAAAATTTGCGCTGCCAAATTTGCTATGCATAAAGATACCTAAAAATAATACATATTTTTTAAAGGTTTTATAATTTAAATGTGAAAGATTTATTTACTGCGTTGTTCTTCTTTAATGACATTATTAAGAGAGGAAAATTACCGATTCTCCGGTTCTCGCGGACATATCGTGATATGGAAATCCGTTTTCCGCAGCAAATCGATGCGACTTATCTCTTTTAACTGTTCTTTGATGCTCCATATCGCATTTATTACCCACTACTGCTATTAGAGGTGGTTCGTCGTAAGTGTCAATGAAGTTCTTGATTTGACTGAGCCACTCTTCCAAAATATCAAAACTCGAGCTATTTGTGACATCGTACACCAGAAGAATGATCTGATTTGTAGAAAAGATAAACAAATATAATAAAGAAAATTGCACCGACTTATATAAATATATAATACAAATGTAAGATAATTTTTTTATAAAGTTTTATGATTATAATGACAAAAAAGATTGACTTTACGTGTGCTCCGAAAACGTATTTGTCCAACATATTGCCGTGCAGGGCTAGTCCACCGACGTCCCATAGATGTAGATTGACGTTCTTGTAAGAACCGATGGTCAGGTTTTTGAGAAAGAAATCGATGCCCGCGGTAGGTACGTATTGTCTGGTGAAATCGTTGTTGCAAAATTTCTGAACGATGCTGGTCTAAAGAAGGATCCTTGAATTTCAATTATCAAGAATGACAGACATGGTGATAAAATAAATAACAAGTATCACGCTAGGACTGACAATCAATAAAACTGGTAATTATACTTGTACACTGATTGTAACTCGAAGAAAGACAAATATTGAAACTACAGCAAAAATAAGATTAATTAAAGATTAAATAAAATATTGTTTGTCCAATAAACTTCTACTTATTTAATATTGATTAAATTCACACTTATATACATTATTTTGCTTATATACTTTATTTTGTTATTTTTTAAATAGATTTTTCCGTAAATTTATCTCGGTTAATTATGTCAAATATATTACGATAAAATATCGATCTTTTTTTCCTTTGTGACTTGTGACATTTGTCATTTAAGGAAACGATATAAAAGAATAATAGTTTGAAAGGTTAATAAATTCATGCTTGGCCTATCTAGTTAGGTTCATTAATTCAAAAACCATCGATTCGAAAATTTGTGTTTGCCGATTGGCCGTATTGTTATGTATCATTGGCAACTAGAACAATAGGCATATACTGCAAATGTTGCATGTTTGCAAAAGTTTTCATATTATATAGAAGCCCCGCGCGGTCAGAGGCTTCATCGATCCAAGTTCGCGTATTACATTCATTACGTTAATCTATAGCGCACAACGCAATCATATTTATATTGTGTGAAGAAAAGCATTACGAAATAATTAAAGCAGTAAAGTAACATCATTAATTGTCTTTTCATTACAAAAAATTCCATACAAATATTTCAATAAATATTTGCAAAAATTAAAGGCTCGTATCAATCTTTCTATTTATGCACTAATCGAAAAAGAATATTTATCAAAGCACTCTTCAACAATAACGAAGCTCACAACTGTCACCTGTTGAAAGGTTCTTCGTTTTCACCATGGCAATCGGCAAACAAATTTAAAGCCAGACGCAGCACGCGTTAATGTAAATGTAGCTATCTTTCGCGAGCACCGAAACGGGATCAACCACCCTTGGCGCGCGCTTTCGATCGAGAACGTGGTAGACTGAAACTCACTTTGCCGGCACCGGAGTCACCCACGAGCACAATTTTCAGCCGCTTCTCGGCCGAATCCTCCTCAATGTCCGACATGAAGGTGCACGATGAATTGACGACAGCCCTTTGACGGAATCATGCGAATAATGGCATGGCTCGACAGTAACCACCAGCGGTTTTCAGCCGACTATAGCACGACACATAATGTAGCTGAGGTTCGCGTGTTGTGGCCGACAAAGTCCGAATCGACCGACAGTGGTGGCCAGTGCGGCGTCGTCGTCGTCGTCGTCATCGTTTACTCACGAGCATGAATAAATTAACCAATAATCGATAATTCGCTAACCATTCGTGCGTATTTTGCGGCCGTGTAAATTTCGGATACGAAGGGCATTTTAATACGAACGTGTATAATATCTTTTATGATGACATGCCTGCATCTGGCTTTAATGTCTGAAGAAAAAAATATTTTGAGAGATGTGAATGTGTTTCCGAACAGTTTAAAAGTAAATATCGTAATGCACAGAAAAAAATTTAATACTTTCGATATTATATTACAATTATCATATCATTCTATTATATTATCGTACAATATGAATTTTATCTTCTTTATCTTATTCTTATCCTCCTAGTGTTATCTACGTTATATAATACTGTGACAAAAAAATCGAAGAACTTTATATTTAGGCACTTATTTGTTTAAATTCGTCGAGAGAAACTTAATAAAACTCGAACCTAAGAAATTATAGTCAAAGCGTGTCAATTAAAAATTAGATCCTTATAATTTTGCAAAAGATAATAATTCGATACTCTGCAGCAAGTAATTGTTCTGACGACTGTCATTCTGTCAGCTCGTTCGAAATTTGCTTTAACAACTTCACAGTACCGTCCATCGCTAGAAATAGAAGCATATTTCTTTTGTGTACTTTATTTAATTAATCTTTCTTTTTGATCTTACCTTAAACTTAAGCATCTCAGCTTAATGCATTTTACACGTAAGACATCAATAGCTTTTTGACTTTTGTCGGAGAATCTCAAGTTCTCCGGATCCCATCTCAATTCTAGACGCTCTAAATTAAGACAATTATTGGCAATTGCATCCATCAGCTGATCCACGTGAATGTTGACACCTAGTCTTTCTTGAGTACCCATCACAAGTATTCTGAAACATATATACACATATGTATCAGGATCTTTAAAATTCCAATAATAATATAAATTACGAAATGTTAACATAACAGGGACAAGAAAGAAAATTTTCATTGTCGTGACGAAAGAGGAAACAAGTGACAAGTGCATATTTGAAATTCAATCAAATAAAGCATAGGATTACAGCTATTTTTAATATTAATATATAATTTACTATATAACTTACATAAAACGAATTTAAATCACGTTTAACGTTTCGTAGAGTATGCGTATACAAAATTAATGAAATTATAAATACTCACTTTGCATTGGTAAGAATCGGTAGTACACTTTGCCAAAGCTGATCGGTAATGTGCGGCATGCCTGACAGCGCAAGGCCGTACAGCTGATGACCATGCTTCGACAGGAACTTATGCAAAGCATCGTCGGTTAAATTGTCGGAACTATCCAAATCCAGAGCTATTAAATTTCGCGGATTTCCAACCTCGGTCCATGCTTTCAGTACACTGTCATTGAAACCGTTCAGTTGACCAGCGCTCAAAAAGCGAAGGCCGGGAATCCTAGTTAGCATATCAATTAAGCATTCCGTTGACAAATCGGTAGCAGTAACGTCGAGTTCCTGAATACTTGATTTTTCCCACTCAACTTGCATGACATATTCACTTTGGAGATCTAAAATATTGTGTATATATTTAATTGAAATATATATGTAAATTGATTAATAACATCGAAATGCATATATTACAATTAATTTCTTTAAAGAGTGACGAAAGATTTTATTCATCTCTTGACTTATGTTAACAAAACAATTAATGAAACAGAAGGAATTTTTTAAAGAAAATTAAGACAAAAAATATATTTTTAACGTTAATGTAATTATGGAGAAATAATAATATCTCACTTGTTCCTTGCATAAGAAGACATTTCAGTCTTCTGCTCCTTTGGAAGAGAGTTTTCATAGTCGAACCAGTCACTTTGGCACAAAAATTCACAGCTAAACATTCTAGTTGGATACAATTAGAAGAGAAGGCGTCGATATGTGAATCATCCACAAAGTTGATTCCGTATAAATTGATTACCCTTAAATTCGGCGTCGCAGATTTGAGTTTGTGCACATTAATTACTTCATAAATTTCTTCTTCTTCTTCCTCCATTTTTTCATATGTTCCTAAAGAATAACAGATTTCTTAATAAAAAAAATTTTTGTAGTTTCAATATACAGTAAATTTCTAGATCTTTATAAATTATGATTATGTGTATTAATACATAGAATATTAAGATATTTATATACATGAGATAATATAAAACACAATTTTATTTTTAATCACCAACCAATTAAATGAAGAATCTCCAATCCATTTATAAAATTATAGCATTTGCGCATAAAACCCTCAAGAAAGATGACTTCTGATAGACAAATACACATATATTTTAATTTTGTAGGAAATGCTTGCATTTCCGAAAAATCGTGCAGTTGCATAGCAGTTGAAAAATCCAACAACATATGTGTTAGATTTGGACACTTATTAGCTAATTCGTGTAAGACTGTATGGGTGATCAATTCTATTGGTAATTCAATATATCTCAATGAAGGTCCAAAACGTACGCTGTAAATATTAAATTGTTATTGTTTTACACTATTTCCCATATACATGAAAAATTAAGAATAAACTTTATTACTTTTTACGTTTTTTCACAAACATAATAATTTCATATAAAATATTTTCCCAGTTTTAATGTTGATTTGTGTATTAAATTCTTTAGATAAAGTAAGTAACATTAGACTAATGACCTCTCGAAATAGGTATTTCTTCTGGACTTAATTATTTCTATTATTGCGCCTATTTTGTGCACGCGTTAGGCTTTTTTCATCTCTAAAGAATTTTATGTATGAAAGCCAAAAGATACTTGAAAAACACGAGAATTAGGTATTACGAACTTACGTCACCTGATTAAATGCAACAAATTTTCCAGAGAGCTCACGTGAAGCCCGCTTATTTCTGGTCTTAGGGACACGTGCTTCCAAAGACGCGTGTCATACGCCATTTGTCGCCAACGTTTACAAATTCGTGCAATCATACATATTTCACGATGGGAGAGATAACTAAAAACGTTCAAAAGAACTTTGTCCGGTAGCTTCTCTATTGTCTGTAGAAAAAAAAGAGAGATCATTATCAGCGCGTAAATATTTCAATAAGATACATTTTGATGGAGTGACGCTTTTGAAACTCTCAACAATACATCGTTGATTGATTATCGAATGATTTACGAAACAATAAATAATCGGATATCATCACGGATTAAATCGTACAAGGTTTTACGCATGTCGCTGTCTTTGTGCATTATTAACGCATAATACATACATGTATTTAAATGTTGGCGCAATAATCAAAATATATTAAATTTAATATATATTATTCGTTGAATTTCTCCTTTCTGCTAAATCAAGTTACCTTTATCAGTTTTTTTAACATCAAATTTTTTCTTTGTAAAAATTCCTACGTAAATTCATATTGAAAAAATTAAGTTTAATAGAATTTAATTCAGTAGAAAAAATATAGTAGAAGTTAACGTTATATATTTCCATTTATAAATGTTTTGCTATAATGATCCACACACGCACCGAATTTTATGAAATCCAACATGTAAACAGAATTTGTTACATCGCACCATTTGGCGAGAAAGAAATTAAAAATCATATATATCAAAAGAAATGGACAGTAACTTACAGTACGACTTTTAGCGGCATCACCCTCGGAAACGTACATCTGAGACGTTTCCAGGGCAATCTGACCCCAAACATCCACACCACCGAGATCCATGGTGCTACTTTTTTTGACGTTAGATTAAAATAAAAACGTTTATTTTACTTTAATTTTTGTTGTTAATTTTTACGTTTCAATTTATAAATTTAATATAATTGATATTTTTTCTTTTTATTAATAAAAAATACTATTTAATTTTCCGTTCTTTCTCTTTTTAATTTGAGAGCATTTTTATTTTAATTTTAATTATAAGCATCACTATATCCCATATCGCGATTTATTTTAACATGATTTTCACTAATTAAATGTTAAATATGAATTTTTAATTTGCGCATTTAAATATTTTTTTGCATGAGAAATTTATTTATTTAGTAGAAACAAGATAAATTATTATTTGCAATTGCACACAGTCTATTAGAATCGACACGAAGCGGAATTTGAGGAAGCTCAAACTACAAGTCTTCAGCGGTTTTAATCGGATCGCGCTTGCGCGTCGCCCTAAATATACAACTTGGAAGGCTTGCTTGTACTTTATTTTAAACCCCACCGGTTACAGCAAAACGCCGGGAGACAAGTATTTTATATTTAATGAAATTCATTTCCTGATAAAGAGAGTCTCCGAATTTGAAACATCTAATTTTATTCAATCACTGTACGCAATTTTCAGATCGTAACTCTTTAATTGCCAATAGAAAAAATAATTATTTCTATATACGTATTTCTTATGGGTATTTTTTATCAAATTCTGTTTTAATGTATGTATATTACAATGTCTACTGCATATACATATGTTAAATAATACAGCATTGAATGCCAAGTTTCTTCATGTTTTATGCGCGATAAAGTTATTTATTTATCCACTTTTAACACGTAAATATCACGCTAAGAAATATTTTCAAAATTGTAAACAATTTTCTTTACTTTACACATACTTTTGTTACAATTAAAATAATTTGAACGAACGAGAATTAAATATAATATTTCTTGTTTTTTTTTTATAAAATGCAAACTATGTTATATATTATAATAATAAACTTAATAACACCTTCGCATTCTGACAAGTGTAATAAAGAATTTTTTGCGAATATATTTTGTATATTTCTTGAGAAAACGTTTTTTCTGTTTTTGTAGTAAAAATATATAATTTGAATATAATATTTATATAAATATATAATATAGTTGCAAAAAACGTTTATTATACACTTTCCTAAAATACAAGGCAAAATAAACCAAACATTAAATTAATATTTTGATTTATTAAGTAAATATTAAATGCATTTTTTTTATTCGTTGATATTTACAGAATATAGATTATGCGCGAAATAAATTTCTAATGGCTTTCGGGGCGTAATAACTGGAATGATTTCAATGTAATATACTTAATGAGCCATTAACAACAAATTTCACATATGTATAATCACACATCGTTATAATTAAAGTTCGAGTTTTAAAGTTTAAAGTATCGTTAAAATTAATAACCCAGGAAAGTGATTATTTTAAAAAATCTAAATTATTTTTTAATTGGAATATTGAACTGTTATAATAAAATTAATATCTCTCGGTGATTGTCTGAATAAAATATATTTATTTATGTTTTCAGTTATAAAATAGAGATAACAAAAATATTGAATAGTATCTAAAATTCAAAGGTCTTTTTCGGAAAGAATATAAAAATCAGCTATGAAGCTATAGAATAAATAAATGGAATGTATAATACATTTACATTCACGATCACAGGAAAATAGATATTAATTTTTTTTAAACGATTAATGGATTATTTTAAACGAAATAAGAATCGCTGTTTTTATGAAACATTTATGTATGGATATTGGAATTTTAAAAAATTGTACGGAATTAACACGTAATATTAAAAACACTCCATTCCTCTCAGCCACACGCGAAGTTATTGCGATACATAAGAAAGAAAGAAAATTTGAAAACTAAGGAATTTGTATCCTGTGGTTGGGATCTCAGAAATTCCCCTTGTTCCTCTCCCAACTTCCACTGTAAAGAAATAGGCGAGAAAAATATTGGTCCGAAAGTCGGTTCCCGATTCAACCGACTTTCGGACCAATATTTTTCTCGCCCATTTCTTTACAGTGGAAGTTGGGAAAGGAACAAGGGAAATTTCTGAGATCCCAACCACAGGATACAAATTCCTTAGTTTCCAAATTTTCTTTCTTTCTTATGTATCGCAATAACATCGCGTGTGGCTCTATTGGCTGAGAGGAATGGAGTGTAGATCGTGTTTTTAAAATTAAGGAGCCGACTTAATAGTCTTATTATTATTATTGTTTCGTAATATTAAAGTTTGTAATATTAAATCGATTTATATCCATGATTTTATTATTTTATTTAAAAAAATAAAACTAAAGCTTGATTTAAGAGAGAGATTGTCATTTTATTAATTAAAATTACAATTGACATTCGGATATATAATACACGCAATAGATGATTATAAAAATTCAACAATAAAATATATTTTTTATGCATAGAAACATTAGAAATGTTTCACAATCTTTAATTTTAGGAAATGATCATATTAATCCTTTTCATAGGTGTGTGTATCGTTCTAGTATAAAAAAAATTCAAATTTTTAAGAGCATTATAAAAAATTGATTATTGTTCTTTACAATTTTAATAAAATTATAATTTCTTTAACAATAATTGGATTTTTCTAAAACATAGTAATTGCATGATAATTGATCAAGTTTACCGTCGATTTTCCTCGATGTGTTATGCTAAATTCTTCCTTGGGTATCGTGCTGACGTGCTCCACGGCTAATTGCGTCCAAGTAGTCATTGTTAGAACTCAAGCAACTTATCAGCAAAAAATGACACGAAAATTACATGCAATACTGTTATAAATAAAAAAATTTTGCTCGCGCGAATTTTCACGTTTATATTTTCTGGTAAAATGTAACGATAGTTTGAGCTGGAGAACCGAAAATTTTGGCCCCAATTTATCGAGCGGATCTCCGTTTGACCGCCTTAGAAGAGTCAGCATTTGCAACTGGGTCTACTTTAATTAGTTATAAATAAAGATAGGCAGACAGACAGGCAGGCAACAGGCCAGAATGGAAAAACCTATTGACACGTTCCACGCATTGATGTGACACTCGTTATGTGAAAAGAAGCGCGAGCAAGCACCAACATTGACGTCGCGAGATTTGTCTCGTTCGAATATAACTAAATTGGATTCGCCGAATGGTGATGTGCACATTCGTGAGGATGAGATTCATCTCTCAAAATAAATGAAAAATTTATTTATTAGTCGATATCGATTTTTCACTATTCGAAGATGTAATTATATTACGTACTCGGATTTGATAACTTTGAAAATCATTAATACTTCATTTTTTAAATCTACAATTTGGAGTATTTTTATGGAAAAACTCGCAAATATAATTTTATTTTCGAATTATTTTCAAAATTTTTATCTTTAAAACGAATTTGGGCAAATGACTATAGGTGGACTTTTATAGAAAGAGATACTCGTATACAGCATATTTAAAATTATATATAACTCTAACATATTTACATTATAATAAGAAATTTATTATAGATGTAATAATTTTATTGTCTTTCTGTTCATATTAAAAACTAAGACATATCATTAAAAATATCGTAAAAATAAGTTCACTTGCCGTATTAGGACGCCTTATTATCCTTTCGGGATCATCTCCTTCGAAGACGTTGAGTTGCAACGCAGCCTCCACGCTCAGGACATTCCAATTCGACATTCTTCGCAAATCCATGATGACGAAATTATGAAGACGAGACAATCGATTAAAAAGAGATCCTTAGACGAGTTGCAAATGGAAGAAAAACGAAGATGCGAAGCAGAGGATAGTTTTGACGCTGTTATTTTGTAACACCTAGCAATAACGAATGCATACAATATATAAGGAAAATCTGCCGATGCTTTATTTATTAATTATGCAATAGAAGGACAATGCAATTTGCACACATAATTTTAGAAAGAATTGTGAGATGATATCACGATCTCTCTGCACACTTGTTACATAAAACTCTCTACACATTTGAGAAAATACATAAATTTATATTGAGAACTGTAGCTGTTGGTACTACATAAGAGAAGGAATTTATAAATATTATTTAAATTATATTACGTTCAGGAAAAATTCATGTTTTCGATTTTTGCATAATTGTTTCACTATTACCAAATATATTAATTTGTATTTTCACATTTTGTTGATGTTTTCTGTCTCGCAATCGCTAACACCGTCACAAAAAAAATTTTTCTTGGATTCAAATGAATTTTAACTTTGATGCACTTTTTCATGCATTTAGCTCGAGAACAGACGCGATCGTTGTCGATAGGCGAAAAGTAGCATACTCAGTCATCGTCGTGATATTCACGTAGACGTCCACCCGCGTTCTGCGGATTGAAGGAGAAAAATTGTAACTAAAATAATCCTATGTTTTTCTACCTCTCTCACTCTCACTCTCTTTCTCTCTTGCAGCTTTCTGAAAATAGACTCGCTGGAGTGCTCCGCGAGCACAAGCATTTCGTGCAGGCAAATCATTCGAGCGAGGAGAAGAACTTATATCTTCCATATGTACGGTCTGTTAGATTTAGGAGAAAGTCTTACGTACTTTTACGTCACAGAAATCAGATAATGGACCAGCAGCAACGTATCCATTCCTTTTGTTTATGAGCATACTAGCAAATTTTGCTCATAACTGTAGCCAAGAGCTAGTTAATTTTTTCTCGCGAGAACTCTCAAATATATTCGATTACATCATTCGATATATTGTGATGTTTCATGGTACACATTTTATACATTTTTTCAAATATATGAAATACAGAGGGAATTTTATTGAAAATTTTATTTATTATGAATTTGATATTTGTTATCACTCAAATGTATTTTATCATAAAAAAATCAAGTTGAGATGTCCAGTATTTAAAAATTTATTGCGACTCTTTAAAATGTTTATCTTCTCTTGTCAGAATGTAAAAGATGCCAAAAGATGTAACTGATACACATACTACATACTGATTCATATAATATATATTGTTCTTATTGTTAGTTATTTTATGAGATAAAGGAAAAACAAAATGATTTTTCCTCCTGTGTAAAATTTGCAATATGTATAACACAGTAAAAAAATTTGTGTTAACACATTTCACATGTCCCAATTTATCCACTCTAATTTTAATGTCAATTTAACAGAAGACAAATATGTAAATATAAAGTAACATAAGTTATCTGTTCATAAGTTACAACAAACATTTAAAAAATGTTATGTTAACATTTTTGTAATGTTAAAATATAGAATTCTTAACAGACCGGTAATGTAAATTTAACATTTTAATTTCATTAAGACCTTTAAACAACTACTTCAAAAAATGTAAAAATTACATTTAATTAAATTTAACTTTATTGTTAATTTAACATACAAAATATATCATCAAGAATTCATACATTTTTATTTAACTGTGTTGTTTTAACATTTAAAAACAATGAATATTAACTCAACACATAGGTAAATGTCAAAATAACACAACGGCAATATGTTACATTAACATAAGAGTATGTTAAAAATTTAACACAAAAGTTTTTACACGAGATAATTTTAACAGAAATACAAAATATTTTTTACCGTGTATCTATAGATTATCTAGATCGATATATCAATGAAACTATAATTAATCTTCTTTACGTTCACGATTTTCAAAGTTATTTTTTAATACTTCTATGTAAATTTATAGGCATTATCTAATTTTTATTTTTCTATCTGCATTTATTTTTCCTTCAACATAAAAAAATCTCATAGAAAATATATTTAAGTAATTGATTAATTGTTTCGGCAATTTTTTAAATAATTTTTTGTTTTCAGTCTTGCATGAAGATCGTGTGCACATCAAGCATTCGGCGAATCATCAATGGCGAATTTCTCGTTGACCGAGATCCAAATAGAAACCCTTGGCATCCTGCCGTTTGCAACGTGATTAATTAGAGTCGCGCTAAACAAGATGAATCAAGGTATGTAATTTTTATACAAATGTCATAATCTAAAGATTGAAAATGATGCTAACAGTTTTTGTTATCATTTGAAATTCATATAGAATCTAACGAGATAATAAAGATATTTGTACACTGTACACCAAATATAAATAGCAAATATTTCAATCTTCTTCTTACAAGATAGTGGAAATTTCTGCTATTCTTGAATATAATAAATATAATACTGGTAAATATTTTGGTTTCAAATTTTCGCAGCTGTAGCCTCGAAAACATGTAATATAGAATAGAAAGTTCAGGCTTGTTATTATAATGTACGCTTGTCTAAAGCTGTTATTCAAATAAGCACGGTGTGTCCAATAATGCTTATTAAAATTAATATTTAAAATTCTATCTCACATTTTTTTCAAATTTTCTTTACATATTTAGTTAATTACTATCTATAAATATTTGATACAAATAACATCAACCATCTATTGTAAAATTTCACAACAAAAGAATTGTTACATGGTTGTTACATGGAATAGAAACATGGTTGCATAGAATTTATGTATCGAATTATCGATTGTGCGAGCGTCTGATATCTTTCATTATCTCTCTTGTAAAATATACTCTGAAGAAGTTTTAGTATCGTATCCACTGGGACAATAAGGTATTATGTAAATCTCAATGTTTCCGAATCGATGAATCGGAAAACTGATAAACATTGGACCGGATGTGCGATTTATGTCGTACTCGCTCGTGAACTTTGACGCGACTTTGTATAATCATCTAAAGAATAACGTCTAATTATGTTGACTCCCATTTAATTGTGAATTTAATACTTATACACTTTGCTTCTTTCCTTTTTATCTGTGGCTAACAAATAATCGACACAAAATAGATAAGATTGCGTGATAGTAAAATTGCAAAAATCACGACTATCTTCCGTGAGGAGAAAGTTAATTATGTATAACTCGGTAATAATTTTATAATTTTAAAATTGAAGAAATCAATTGAAGATTACTTTGATAATGTTATATCAACGCTGAATAGATTAGACATGATATATATAAAAAGATATACTTTTTAAATCTTTTGTCGTTTTCTGTAATGAGTGAAATTCCATTACAAATCGCGATTTAAGATAATCAGAATTTTTTAAATTCACAAAATTTGTATATAAAAATATACAGTTTTTCATTATTTTATTACATATTTCTTTCAACATTTATCTTAATGAACATAATAGATTATATAAAATTAAATTTTATATAGGTTGGCATTAATTATTTTTATATACAAACATTTCTCTTAAAAAGTGAAATTAATCAGTAGATATCATTTCATCTATAACACAACATATTGATAACGCGACAAATTTAATTATTGTAAGGCGATTCTTTTTAAATATTTTTTAAAATAGAACATTATGTAATAGTGCTTATGCCTTTTTTTAATTAGAATTTCTTTAAAATATCAAAAGTCGTTTCAACTATTTTGTAATATTTCATATTCAAAACTACTCATTTTAAATAATGATAAATATTAATTACACACACACACACACACACACACAAGAGCTTTCAATTTTTTCAATCGATTTAAATTTTAAATTGCTCGTATATTAAGTATAAACAAAGACAAGAGGACAAAAGAGAGAAGGAAGGTAAAAACCATGTTATTTTATTTATTTATTTTGAAATTTATTCGTTCAACGAATTTCACTGTTCTAATTTATTCTCAAGAAAGCTTATGAAAACAAATTAAGAAAGTATAGAAAAAGTCTGTCGACAGACTTTACTTCAACGGTTCTCTGTTACAGAAAACGTTATATTTGCACGATTCAAATCGAGAATTATTATTGATATGTATTTGGGATAATTGGAATGTGTATATGTATAAGCATAACACGCTATATATACATATATATAATTTCACGCGAACGATAGCTATATCTATTGTTAAAGGACATCACACGGTTACAGAGTGTAAATAAAATATCGAGCACACACAATGGTACAATACAATCCCAACATTCTCTGTAATTTCGTGCGTCTTTCAGACTAGATATACTGCGAGGAGATAACGCGAGTTGTTGTTTTCCGCGTTTGTCAAATCGCGAGGAAGTCAAATCGTTATCTGCGACCAATGTCGTTATTGGCGAAGTCTTTTATCGCCAGATAATACCGCGGATGTGCAGGGGTATATATAGAACCGCGACGCGAAAAAAAGATGCAAATGTAAAGGAAAAATGCTTAGGGGAACATGAGATCACGCACGATCATCATAATGTCCAACAATAAGATGGTATCAAAATTTCCACCGTCTTTGTGTGATTCGCGGTTCAGCAGTGTTTTGAAATTTCATCAATCCATCAGAGTCTTGGAGAAACAATTATCTCATCCGTTTAAAAAAAAACAGCCTTGCCTGCATATCGATCTCTCGAAGCGAGAGGATGCGATAGATCACGCGATCTGTCTTTCTTTCTCTCTGCGACTAATTCTCGTCACATGACTCCGCCTTTTAATTCCCTCTTCGTGCATTTATCTCCGTCCATCACACGCGGATCGCTCGATCCGTCTCGTTCGCGCCTGCGCGCCCCGAACGGTCTGAACGTAGTCATAAAGGCGGCCGCTACGACGCAGCGCAGCGTCAGTCGTAGAAGCGTCGTCGTGCGGAGCGGATCGTGCAAAGAATCGCAGAAGAGCGAACGAGCGTTTCTCGCAGATAATCGTAGGCGGAAGTAGACGGGGGCGCGCGTCCCCGGAAATTGACTGTCAGAGCACGTGTTAATCGCCACGGCGTCGACGGGACGGCATGAAATAACGACGGTTCGTAACGAAGCAACGTGGGGCGGCAGGTAGCGGCGTCGGCGACGTCCTGATTCCCAGCGTCCGCGCTCAGTCCTCAGTGTAGGCTAGCCGGGTCGCTCGGCGATCGTCGCCACAAGACTTTTCTCCGAGAAGCTTTTCATCATCAATCGACGATCTCTCGTCGTCTCGTTCGCGCGACACGACGTATGCATACATTTTTATTAGGCATGCACGACGAGGGCCTCGCGCCGAAATATCTCTCTATATCATAATCTGGATTACGACACGCGTCATCGTTTGCGATAACATCGTCTTCCTCGGTACAGCAGAAGACCTCCGTAGGCCTCTTCATTATATTGGCTTCCCACGTTCGTCGCGGTGAGGTTAGCCTCGAAAAGAGTGGCGACACGTTTCGATCGCCGCGGCTTTGACCGCGCTTGTCCACGTATAATTTTCAAGGTCGATTCGCAAAAAGTCTCGAGAGGCTAACGTCAATTTCGTACTCCTCTCCACGAGGATTTCGACGGAACGAAGAGAGAAAGATAGAGAGGAACACGCAACAACAAACATGGCTGCTGCGTCGTACGCGTGCACGCGCAACTGCACGGACGCGGGATATTTTTCATGCGACATTCTCGGAGGGACGGACGCGTGGTCTCCATGGCACGAGATCGTAGGATACGTTTCCTACAATCCATGGATTTTCTCTCTACTGGGTAGCACCATAGTCGGCCTCACCGGCATCTTCCCCCTCTGGCTCATCCCCATCCAGGACAACGACGATCCGAAAACAGGCGGTAAGTGCTGCTTGCTTTTTTATATATATATATGCGCAATTTCGTAGAGTCGTTACGTCACGTATCTACAGGTGACACGATATATGAGAGACGTTATCGCATCTAATCTCTTATTTATTCATTTTTATCATGAAATTTCCTCTATTATTTTTACTATCGCATTTTACTCCAAAATTGGGTTTTAAGTATTAATCAATTTATATAATAAACATTTGGTATAGAATTGTGATAAAAATTTGATAAATCAGATTTAGTTTTTTTTTTTTTTTTAGAATATACGGCTGTATAAATATAAATACTGTTTTTCTTTCTATATTCTTTTTACTTGTGTGTTTTAATACGTAATATATATAACTATTTTTATTAACACAATTTCAATTTATTTTATTCTTTGCTTTGCTTTTATCATTCATTACGCAACTAATATTTTAAAAGGTGATAAAACTGAAAAAATGATTGATGATTAATATGATTTGATTAATAAGAGTAAACAAATATCAAATAATATTGGTCAAAGATTAAAAATAAAGTTGTGTAGTGATTATACATATAAATACAGTATAAGTCATTAGTAAATGTGAGGCCTCGATGTTAATTAATCGATATTTTCCTCTCTATCGGAACATACAGTATCATTTTTTAATTAAAATTTTATAAAATTCTTGCAAAAACATAAACCACTATCTGGAATTATATGCGTGATATTACATCGCGTACATGTTGTTTCGGAAAGTACATGTAGAAAGAGCTATCTTATTAATCACAATTCGAACTAACGCGCACAATGTTGCACGTGGAATGCTGCATGCAGAGTTGCACAAAGGACTGTTGCGTTACGTATTATAATTATCATTTATTTACATTTAGTTAGTACGCGGCGTAGAATGGCACTTACAACTATGATGTCATTCTTATTTTCCGAGTAACCCAGAAATCGCGGAATAACAGCGAATTATCCTACATTACTTAAAAGAATTATACAAATAATAAATTCGACACACAGATTATCGTATAAATCGATCTGATTATCGTACGATGTTGCAAATTACGTGATATTGCAAAACTCATTGTGTGTGTGTGAATTGAATTTATTTCAATAAATTCCATTAATTAAAAAACTATTCTGTTATGATCCAAGTAGCAATGAAGATCGTAAATATTCTCAAACGTTTCGTCGCATTACATATCTTAATATGATTTAATGCCATAACGATAAGCGAATAAAAATAGAGAATTACTATTTTTTCAGTAGACAGAGAAAATGATTATATGCGTATAATATATTCTCTCTAAATGTCTTCACATGAAACTATAATCCGATTTTCGTTCTTCAATTCTGTATATAATTTTAGTTTCTTTCAACACTTTAATTTGTAACTTCAAAATTTTTGATTCGTAAAACTTTCCTCTAATGTATATCGTTCTACATAATTAATCTTATTATTCGATGCAGATAAATATAGAAATATAGCTCCACTGTTGTCTTGCAACAAGAAAGATCTTTGTTATGCAGAATAGTTATTATCTTCTCCTTTTGCTAACATTTCGAATCGGTCATTCAACTGTAGCTTCAATGCTGTATTGAATACTGTAGGGTTTCTATTATTAGTATTTTGTAGTCTTTTTGTATAGAAAAAATATATACGGTTAAATATAATTCCAAGATATAACATACATAGTTTTATACATTTAAAAACTCAAGGTCTTTATTGACATAACTGAACCATAACAGAATAATCTGCTCAATTAGTAAAATTAATTGGAATAAACCCAATAAAAGCCACGAGAGAGAAAATGAATTATTCGTCTATAATTAATTTCTACGCGCATTTGCTATTCATTTGTATATTTCCATAATAAAGCTTAACAATTGGGTTCAATTGCTTTAATAATATTTTCCGTGGAAAATGATACAATAAAGTAAATTTGTCATTGAACTCGACATATGACTCTTGTTGCAAAAATCAATTATCGTGTGTGCGTAGCTAATATAATCATTTTATCGTTATAATAAAAGCGATTTGTTGCGGTTTTTTAACGTCAACGATAAAAAGTAATTAAAATCATTTTTGTATTGAAGTTTTTTTTTAGCAAGAAACGAGTTTCACGGATATAAATTAAAAATAAAATTATTTAAAATATACTGCTAGTAAAACGCTCTTATATATAATATTTATCATGTTGTTATAGATTATAGACTGACATATTCTCTGTCTTTTTATATATGTTTTTACATATTAATTATTTTATAAAAAATCAGTATATTACTGTATGAAAGGTTATATACGTATTCTATATTTTAAAATACATGGAAATGTTATATATATAACCATATGCTTGTAATTATTTTATATATATATATTTAGCAAGGTTATGTAAATAATATAACAAAAAATATTCAAAAAATAAATAATTTAGTTATAGATTATATACATTTATTGGGTAATGTTGATTTGTATGGACAAAACAATTTCTGTTCCATTACAAAATTTCGCAAAAACTATTTAATTTGTTTAAATGAAAAGAGTTACAAGCTTAAACATAACACTTAAACATATATATTTTCAACTACATAGTACGCAGTTAAATTTATTATTAGTTAAAATCACGCGACTGAGAAGCTGCATATGCATATATAAAATTGCTTAAAACAGATCGCTACATATATACATAGTATATATATACATATATATGTATACGCTTAACTACGCATGAATAATTGAAAAAATATGTTGTCAACAAAACTAATGTATACAATTTTTTTTGACAATGAGAATTGCGAAAATATAACAGAAAACATCTGGTGAAAATAACACAGTATTAAACTATATACATTATTATAATAAATAACAGATATTCTAATCATATTGATATTAAAAAAAATTAACTTGATGAAAATATAATAAAGCATGTTTTTATATACGTACAAATCTGATGAAATAATTTACAAAGTGAATATAACTACTTTTATTTATTACTATATGTACATACATACCATATAATCTAATTAAAATACAATTTCTACGAATCTGTTAGAAAAACTTTAACAAAGAAGAAAATAATGGGAGGAGGACAATGTTTTACACGACAAAAGTAGACGGAATTCGAAGGTCACAGAACTTGTTTCGCGTAGCATGCGAAATGCTGAAATGAAACTTCTAGTTCAATTGTAAATCGTATCTCAAAAGCTAGACTCAAAAAAGAAAATTCTATTTTTCAATCCTTCATCACGTTTACAATGTTCACCATTTACTTTTTATCCATCGACAAAACACATAAATATTCAACAGAGAGCACTTACCTTTATGCAGCATAAATGAATGCAACATGTTGCATTTATGTTGCATAAATCCATTTGAATTGTATTATTTATTTGTACCTTTTGATTTAACAGTCTCAATGTCGTCGCATAATTGATCAATAAATAACGACCTTAGAAGAAAAACATTTTAATGACAATATTATATAATTATAAATATATAAATATTTGTACATATTAATATATATTATTGCGGAAAATTCTTCCTCTGCTAAAGTATCATTAACTATTTATAAATCAGTTAAAAATAACCACGCTTTGTTATAGCTACATTATGAAATGGTCTGCTTTTTAGACGGTTAAAATGCGCACTTTGGATATATTTGAAAGCTTCGAACTATACGAAGTTAAGGATTTAGGTTTGAAAGTTTCTTTTCTGTCGTATATTTCTGGTTAAAGGCAGCTATGAATTTTGAAAGTAAAGTAGTTCGTACAGAGCTTTCTAGCAGTTATACAATTGCAGTAGGAAGCAAAGAAAGAAAATTATCCCACATTGTACATACATATTATTCATTATATAATGATCGTGAAATGGAAAATTTTCTGAATAATTAAATATTTCGAACAATACGTATTGTAAAAAATATTTACAAACCGTTCTGGAAATTTTGGTGCTCATTGTATAATGAATATAATTTGAACAACTTTGAACAAAAGAAAAATAAATAGATTTTAAATTCAATTTGGTGTTGTATGTTATATGCCTACAAAATAGATGTCACAAAAATTTTTATGTTAAACATGACATCAAACATTTGTAGTTTTAAATTAATGTAGCACTGTATTCACAAAACGTATATTGCGATATTCGGTAAAATTCCTTTCATGTCCGTAGTGCTTTGCGCATTTGGCGGGTGCGAATCTATAATAATACCGATTGGAATCGATAGTGACAGTCGACCACTAACGACTTTAATTAACTTTCGTATGGAATAATCGTCGATACTGCAATGCAAAATGGTTATTGCGTTCATTTGTTTTTCCCTCTATAGTCACTTTTTATGCCCATGTATAGAGATAAACATATGTACACATATTTATCGCATTCTTTCCGCATAATCACGACGCCAGATCGACGCCATTATCCATCGAGACATTCAAGTTGATTGTACAGCATAATACTTATTGTAAAATGGAACTGTTCAATTAATTACTAGAAATCAAGTGACTTTGACTAGAAGTTGGCCAGATAAACTTGGTTCTGTTATGGATCAAATTAACAAATTGCAATTATAGACGCACATATCTTACCATTTGTCTTTCCAGATATTACATTATTCTCATTTTAGAAATAATGTTATTTATTCGTTGGGGAGAGGAATTGCAGTATATATATATATATATCTTTCTCTTGTAACTTTATTATTACGTAATTTCCGAATCAACGGTGATTTCAAATTATATACGAGTAAAATTAACGATAAACGTTTCTACGTCGCTCAACTTTAATAGTATGAACTTTTTGTAAATGTCGAAAATTGCGAGAGAATTTAATCGTTTCTCAATGTGCAAAACTCGTATTACGAAACTAACTTATTCTATTGTCGATGTAATCGTGTTTCAACAACAAAATTAATTAATGCGCCAATTGGAAACATTATTGACTTTTTATATAAAACATTTTGTAAAATTTTCATCGAACTTTGCATTAAAATTTCAAATTCTTTCTTGCGTTTAAAAC